GTAGTATTGAAAATTTTCTACACATTTTTGTCAATATTTTTTCTTCCAACAATACATAAAAGTTTATAACATAGTTAACGGTTAAGTGCAACGTGTACTCAATGAAAAATTGTGTAGACAGATAATTAAATCAAACAAGGAGTTTTGTTTTAAGTACCGTTAACGAATGTTTATTTTAAAATCCCCCGAGCTAATTGACCGCGAACTCTGACAAGCTCTTTTCCCTACACCTTTTCTTTTTTGAAAGGGTGGTGAAAGAGGGGGGGGGGAGGGAAGTACACTCATTTACACTCACACACACAATGAAAACGATAGCGCGCAGGAAAAATAAATAATTCCTCTTCATGGTTTGTGGTTAGTCGTCGGGATAAAATATTAGAGACAAGGTTTATTTAATAATACTTCGAACGTTTATATCTCTTTGTAAAATAGTGAGTGAGTGAATGAGAGAGAAAGCCCTATTCGAATAGGTGGAAAATGGCACCTTTCATATACACATATGTATATATATATTTTCCTCGAGAAATCGGATGTCCCCTAACGAGTATTCGTTGAAGCAAGTATATTTCTCGTCACACTAATCCCATTACGTGTCCGCTCACTTGTGCGGTTTTGTCCATTTCTCAGTCAATCTCCAACCCCTTTTCTAACAAATGAACCAACTTACAAAATATACTCACTGACTAATTCCGCACATGGATTTAAATGAAAAGCACTCGAGCCAAAAACCGGTCTGCCTTTTCTCTTAAAATGACTTCCTTTTACACGGCTTATTAACTAATTTTTACATTTTACATAAACATTGACAATAAAGCACATATTCGTTTAATCCTTCTAGAGATAGAATTTAATATGCAAAATTTCTTCCTAAAATCCACTCTACTTTAGTATTTAAGAATTATTAAATTATATTTTCAGCACAAAATAATTTTCTATTCGATTTCATCTTCACAAAATATAAAAAATCTACCTTACCATCTATCGATAATATCGAAAACTGCAGTATCTACAGTTAACAACATCAACACTTAAATTAACACTGGTCGATAAAGTCGAAATCGACATTACCATCATCCCGTAGAGTAGAAATCTACATTATCGGCTGTTGAGAAAGTCGAAATCTATCGTACCGTCCATGGACAATGTCAAAAAATTATATTAAAACATGTTGGTAGATAGAAAATCTTTATTATCATTCACGACAATGTCAAAAACAACCAGTCGTCGGTAATATAGGAAATATCATTGTCAGTCGTCAGTAAAGTAGGTACTAACATTAGCATTTATAGGTAAAGTAGGAAGTTACATTACCGACTGTTGATAAAGTTGAAGTCTACCTTATCTCATATTGCAATGTCGAAACCTGCTTTTTTCAGTAAAAAAATATCCTATATTTAAAAAGAAGAATCAAATTTTTTCAACATTAATGTTTTGGTAAATGTAATTATTTTAAAAATCAAAAATTTGTTTACACTATTTTTGAAAATATAATTTTTAGTTTTACTTTTCATTATTTTGAAGAACCTACTTTTTTATAATGTATATTTTTGAAAATTCTAATTCTTTTTAAAATTAACTTGTCTCTATCTATATTAAGAAATGATTAAACATTGATTACAACGGAAGTAAAAAAAAGTGAAAGTGTTTATAATTGAAAGAACTTGTCTCACAGTCAGTGGAGTATGTATATATATGTATATGTATAACGTGTGAATATGTGTCAGCGAAAAAATAGGAAATTGTCAAAATCTTTGTATATAAACTTTATACCTCTCCTCGTGTGTGCTTTCTCCTTCATTTCATCTCGTCTTGTATTAATTAGAATCCGATCATGTTTTATCAAGCGGAAGGTATACATATATTTATATATAGAATTAGAATAGACGTTTTGCATTTGCATTTGAAAATAAAATTAATACATAATTTGAAAAGGCATGGTTTTCTAATTGCTCTTAACTCTTTGACCTGGAAAGTTATGCTTTCATTTAAATCACTGTCAAAAATTCACTTGCAATATATATCTTATTTTCAGGTGTGATAAAATTTTTGACATTCTTTTTTTAAATTTGAGACTTGATGAATTGTTAATAAAAATTAAGTGTTGTATTTGAATAGAATGATTTTTGTTCTAAAATAAATCTCCTTTTTTTAAACTAAAGTCTTTTTTTTAAAGTAATAAAATTTTTTTTTTATTATTACATAGTTTCTTTTTTTTATTATTTTTGTTTCAGTTTATTTTCATTTATTTCAGTTTACTTTAATTTATCTTTTTTTATTTTTATTGATTTTAAATACACATTTGCCGCATATGTTCATTAAAAAAGAGAAAAAAAATTCTGATATACTAAAGTTTAGATATGGAAATAGAAAGTAAACAATTTTAAATATTATATCAGGTGGGGAAAAAATAATGTTGAGAGTGATTGGAGATATCGTTATAAGAATCCTTATTATTGTCATTATGTGACAGGAAAAACAAAAAGTCATCTGAGAAAGTAAATAAGATGCCTTACTATGCTAGTAGAACAAGTCCCATATGATTGTTTGCTTAACAAGTATGAAACTTTTTCTTTTTTTTTTATTGGCATTATTGATTTTTTACATATGAAACTTTATTTTTTATATAAAAATAAAATTTATTTTTTATTCAAAATGAAAATATCAATTATTTAACCGTTTCTCAAAAATGTTATAATTAATTATTTTATTATTCTTTTAATATTTTATATTATTGTATTATTTTCGTATTATAATATTATTTTGTACGTTATATTAACAATTATTTTTTATAACAATACAAAGATTGTTATGTAATTATAGGTATAAATAATAATAATGAAAGTAATTAATAAAAATAATAAAAAATAATTATTATAATTATATTGTTACTTATATCAGATTATTATATTATTGTTTATAATAATATAAACATTGTTAAGAAATTATTAAGTTAATATAAATAAATTTTTTACAATTCAATTATTACGAAATATTAAATTATGTACGTATTATAATTTAATAACGTTTTTTAGTATTTTAACATTTTATTTAATAATTTAATTTTTGCAGTAAATTTATTTTCTTTTTTTTGAAAGTATAACAAATTGAGAAAATTAAAAAGAAAATTTTTCTAAAACATTCTCTACACACGAACATATTTATTATTCTTTAGACTTTTATTTAAAAGGAATAATAATGCGAAGGCGTTTCTTGAATACAAAATTGTGTTCCGTTCAAAGTTTAGAAAAAAATTGCTATAATAAGTGACACAGTGACAAGTATTGAGATCTCGTTTTCAAGTTCAACAGGGCATTGAAAATGGTGAGAATTTCTCTCTCTCTCTCTCTCTCTCTCTCTTTCGCTCACCTAAATGGGAATTTTTTTTATGTTCAAAGTGCAATGTAGAAAAGATGAAAGTGAAAACTTGTCAACTATACATTAACATACATATACATATATGTATATATTTCATCGCAAGAATAATTCTCAGTCTTATAGTAATCGATTTTTATTTCCTCTACTTAAACTACTTATAAAAATATAGTAATTTTATTACCGGAAGTTGCAAAGAAAGGAAATTGTTATCAAAAATTAATATTTTTTCGTGATATGAAAAAATTGGTGAAATTAATATTTATAGAGTTCAAAGTCAGTGGTACTTGACATTGGAAATATAATAGAAGTGTTAACAAAAAAAATTTGATGTAAAATTTGATAAAAAAAAATTTTTCATGGGAAAAATTAGCACTTGCGAGAAAGTCAATGGCGCCCTCTGCCAATCAATTTTAACGCGGGCTTTTTGAAATTCGAAATTTGATTTTTTCCTTTTTTCGCAATTAATATAATTTTAAAATACAAATAAAGTAATTTTGATTTATTGTCAATTTCATTTATTTTTAAATATTAATGATATTAATATTTAAATTGATGATTTATTAATATTTTTTAAATATTTGTGATTTATTGATATTTTTTTAAAAATATTGATCTTGTATATTAAAATTAAAGTATATAAATGAAATGAAAATTTGCAAAAAAGGAATTATTCAAATCTTTGGAGAAAGTTAAAATTTAATGAAATGATTAGGTTTTATTGACAAATGAAAAATTAATTTATGTGACAACTGAGAATTTATTATCTCAGTTTAATTTTATTACTATATATATGTATACAACATTGAGCTCATGTTTTCCATTTATTACCTCATTCGTTTATGCGATTTATATCAGACTAATATACATATATAAATATCGTCAAGAGTGATTATAATAAAGCACATCATGTGCTCTGTTTAAGATTAAATGATCTTATTTGCATTAATTTATTTACTACGAAAACTTTGCTTCCTTTTAAAAATCATTTCACTTTCAGAGTTTGTACTCATTTTAAAAAAAAATTGTTTAATACTATAACTTAATGTGGGAAACAAATTTCATTTAAATGTCTCAAAATAATTGAATTTTCGGGAATAATTAATTTAGCAGTATTACAAAATTCAAATGTTAATAAATTTTACAAAAAAATTTTTTTTGTCTTAATATTTTTAGGGATTCTTCTTAACCATATTAAGAGTCAAAAAAAATATTTTGGTTCAAAGAGAAGATTTTTTTGTTTCAGGTGATTCGTTTGAGAAATTCTGACCAAATATAAAATATTAACAAGTGTGGTTAAGAATAAAACATTTTATAATGAGAATATAAATAAAAATAAAATTTTTAGATATAAAAATTTTTTACTTTTGAATGCCTTACTTTTTATTAACACTAGTAATTTGGTTTATCTATAATGAATATTTGATTTGTTGATAATTTATTTAATCTCCCGCCGTGTGCCAGTGAACTCTGTAAAGTGAATGAGCGAGAAAAAGATAACAAAGAGAGGAAAAAAAAATTTTTTTGTCAAGTGGGAAGGGAGTTGGTAAGTGTGAGTGTAATGGGAGATGGAAAAAAAGACGAGAAAAGGAAGTAGCTCTTATAAACAGATCCTGTTTGGTAGCAATTCTCAGTTTGTTATGCATTTCACGTGGACGTTAGACGCCCAGAAAACTGGGGCATCATGAAGAAGACGCGTCTCATTTTCGTAGTAATTCACTTTTATCGTTTCTGCTACTTTTTTTTGTCTATTTTTCTCAATTTTTAGTGTTAGAAGTGATACTCTCTACTTTTAATTTTTTTTTAATTTACAAATTTTATTACTTTTCTTTTCGTTTTAATTATTTAAAGAAGATTATTCTTTATAGATGTTCTGGCTTTTGTTATTGCTCGTTGCTTCAGCAGAGGGGACAATTTTCGAATAGTACGTACAGTTTATAGATAAGTACACGAAATTAGTAATAGTAATATTAATAATTTTAATAGTAAAAATACTAGTAATAATAATAATTGTCGTAGCAATAATGATATTAATAATAATAATAGTAATGCTAGTAGTGGTAATAATAATAGTAATAGTACTACTACTAGTAGCAGTGATAATCATAATAGTAATATAATAATAGTACTAATACTAGTAGTAGTAATAGTAATAATAGAACTACAACTAGTAATAATAGTACTACAACAAGTAATAATAACACTAATAATAATAATAATAGCACTACTAGTAGTAACAATAGTAGTACTATTAGTAGTAACACTACTAATAGTAGTAGTACTATTAGTAGTAACACTACTAATAGTAGTAGTACTATTAGTAGTAACACTACTAATAGTAGTAGTACTATTAGTAGTAACAATAGTAGTACTATTAGTAGTAACACAACTAATAATAGTAACAATACTAATAGCAGTACTAGTAACACTACTAATAGTATTAGTACCAGTACTAGTAACACTACTAATAGTAGTAGTACTATTAGTAGTAACAATAGTAGTACTATTAGTAGTAACACTACTAATAGTAATAGTACTATTAGTAGTAACACAACTAATAGTAGTAACAATACTAATAGCAGTACTAGTAACACTACTAATAGTATTAGTACCAGTACTAGTAACACTACTAATAGTATTAGTACCAGTACTAGTAATACTACTAATAGTATTAGTACCAGTACCAGTACCAGTACTAGTAACACTACTAATAGTATTAGTACCAGTACCAGTACTAGTAACACTACTAATAGTATTAGTACCAGTACTAGTAACACTACTAATAGTAGTGATATAGTAGTAACACTACTAATAATAGTAATAACACTACTAATAGTAGTAGTAACACTACTAATAATAGTAATAACACTACTAATAGTAATAGTGACACTATTAATAGTAGTATTAATAATAGTAGTGAAACTATTACTAGAAGTAGTGATAATAATAGAAATAATAGTAGTGAAACTATTACTAGAAGTAGTGATAATAATAGAAATAATAGTAGTAATACTACTACTAGTAGTAGTAATAATAGTAATAGTATCATTAGTAATAATAACAGTAATAATAGTAGTAGTATTATTAGTAATAATAACAGTAATAATAGTAGCAGTAATAATAAAATAGGAAATAGTAATAAAATAATTTAACAAAGGATGGTGGCAATAATATTTAAATAATAGTTATATTCCATATGTTACAATAATTCTAAATAGCAACTAACAAAAATTAAATGCTACACGAGATAAATAAATACAGATTTACAGAAATATGAAAATACAGAATGGTATTAAAAAGTACAGAATTTCTTTACCCTTAAAAATATAAAACTCATTTTTATTGTGGATTTAAATTTCGAAATTTTGTACAATTATTAATTTTATGTTCACCTATATTAATTTTTATTGTTTATTCTTTTTTTCATTTAAAGTAATACACACACGACAAATACATTTATGTGATATATGTGTGTATGCATATAAACGCAGACAAGTTCTCTTGTTTTCCCTTTCAGTTAGCCGATTAATGTTTACCGGTGCGTTTGGCAGGCCAAAAGCCGCAGTTTCTTCGAGCGTAGCGATAAATTACCCAAACCGGCTAATCCGAATTAACCATAGTGTTGCAGGTCGGTTTCAATTGATTCAACCGTTTCGCGGCGCGGCGCGGATATTAGCTCGCACATCTCACTATTTTCAATTCTCTTGGAACAATACGATAATATGCCTTTGTGGGCTTTTCATTTTTATGTTTATTATTTTTTAATAATTGTTTCGCGAAATAAAAAATTTTTTTTTTTAATTTTAAATTTAGTTTTTTCTATATTTAAACAATTAAATTCATTGGAAAAATTTATTACGGTGAATAATTTCTTTTTAATTTTTTCATGCTGAATAATAATATGATAACAATAATAATAAAAATATTTTTTTAATTTGAAAAAAACGGTTTTAAAAAATAGCAAATAAATAATAAAAATAATAATAAGTTCCAAAGTTAAATATTTTAAACACTAAAAACGAAAAAATAAATATTAGGATTTAAAAAATCCCGCGTTAGAATTGATTGCCAGGGGGCGCCATTGACTCTCTCGCAAGCGGTAATGTTTTAGGTCGAATATTAGTGATAATAAGAAAAGTCAGAATAATAATAATAATTATATTTATAATTATAATTAGTTATAATACATATTATAAATAATATTAATAGACTTCGCACTCGATGATTAATTTTAAAAAAGTAACAAACAGTAGCTTTCAAACTAAATAAAGTAGTAAAAAAGTAGCTATCGAAAAATCATAAAAGAGTTTAAATATTTATAAAAATAAATTAATTCCTTCGATGAATTTTATAAAAAAAATTTTAATAATTCATTTCTTTCGACTAATTTTATGCAAATTCTAATTAAAATAATTGAATTTTTGAGATATGTTTATTATTTACAAAAATAATTGAATTCTTACGAAGAATTTTATAAAAAATTTTGTAATTAATTGAATTATGTTTGGAAATTTTATTAAAATAGGATAGATATTAAAAATCATTGAATTGTGAAAAGTTTTACAAAATAATTAAATTTTACAAAGAATTTCAATGAAAAAAAATGAAACTAATTGAATCATTGCGAACAATTTTATTTTAATTTTAAAATGAATTAAATTTCTGTGAAAAATTATTATTTTTGAAAGAAATTGAATTCTTCCAAAGAATTTAAATAATTGATTTTTTCGACTAATTTTATGCAAATTCTGATTTAAATAATTAAATTCCTAAGATAATTTAATTATTCATAAAAATAAATTGACTTCTTACGAAGATTTTTACAAAAAAATTTTCAAATAATTGAATTCTGTTTGGAAATTTTATGAAAATAGTAGATATTGAAAGTCATTGAATTGCGATAAGTTTTTAAAAATAATTAAGTTTTACAAAGAATTCTATTAAAATTTGTGTTTAAAATAATTGATTTCTTTCGAACAAATAATAATTGAAATTCAAATAATTAAATTTTTGGGAATAATTTTGTTATTTATCGGCATAATTGAATTCTTTTGAAGAATTATTTAAAAAAAGAATTGAATTGTTGTGGAAAACTTTATTTGTGAAAATAATTGAATTTTTCGATTAATTAATTTAAAATAGTATTAAAAATAATTGAAATTCTTCGATGAGTTTTATTATTTATGCAAATAATTGAATTCTTGTTTATAATTTTATGAAAATTTTTTTTTAAATAATTAATTTTTTCGATATGTTTTTGAAATTATATTCCAAATTAATTGAATTTCTATGGAAAATTTATTTTTTATGTAAATAATTGAATTTTTGATGAATTTTATTAATTTTTTTAAATAATTCAATTCTTTTGCGAACTTTTATAAAAATACTAGATATTGAAAATAATTGAATTTCAAATACTTTTTGAAAATAATTGAAATAATTGAATCGTTTTAAAAAAATTTGATTATAGTTTTTGAGAATAGTTTTTTGATTTCTAGTAGATGAGTGTGAAGCCTGTATTAATAATAATATTAAGAATAATAGTAATAAGAATAAAAATAATTAATAGAAACAATAAAAATAAGAATAGTAATAATAATATTACAAAAATATTGAACATTATTTTTCGTTCAGTTAAAAGCTGCGCATGTAAAAATAATCTAATTAAATGAAAAAACTTTTGTAAAATATTTCCGTCTACTTAACACTAATACTCTCATTAATATTTGCATATAATAATGATGTAATTAAAAATTTAAAAATACATAGCGAATAATGGGAAAATGTTTTTTGGGGTGTGGAAAATTTGAAAGTAACCTACATCTATATATATGTATATATAATTTATTATTTATGAGGAATTACGTTCAGAGGATTATGAATTATTTGTTCTCAGTGTGAGCACTTAATGATTTTGTTGCTGCTAATGGCGAATTAATTTTCAATTAGCTCAGCTGGTACCCATTGCATGCATTGTAGTCATTTTATTGAAGGATTAAATCACTCACTTTTAGTCTTTGTTCCAAAGCATAATTCTCATATTATTATTATCATTATTTTTTTTTTTTAAAATCCCTTTCGATTTAAATACAGATTTATCAGTAAATTTATGTTAATTCGCATATATTATTATTTCTCTAAATAATACAATTATTTTTCTTTCTTTTTAACCAGAATTATTCACAAATTGTCCATCATTTTTATTATTTTTTTTTATTTTGATTACAAATGATAATAAAATTATAAACAAATAATTTTTATTTTTATAATTTACAATTAAATAGATAATTTTAGAATTTGTTTTTATTTTTGCATTAAGATTTTTAATTTTTTTAATTTTCAATATAATAAATAATTTTTAATTATTTTCAACAGAAGTAGTAATGTTAATAATAAATACGGTTAAAAGGTTTAATTATGTTTTTTTAAATAGTGTATTAAATAGAAATTTATAAAGATTAGTAAAAAGAATTTTGTAACAAAAATGTAGTAATGAAAAAAAATAAAAAATAATAAATAAGTAAATAATAAAATAATAATAATAATGATATTAATTAGTTTGGAATAATAAGAGAATAATAATATTATTGAACGATTCTTAATAAAAAGATCTTCGCTTCTATAAATCAGTTGAAAATTTCTTTCATTAGCTCGAAGAATGCGTTAATTGACTTTTTTCAATCGTTGAGGGATAAAAAGGGCGATCAAAAATTGTGGAATGTTCATCATTATCATGTTCACTATTATCCTACTCCTTTGGAAGAATTAAATGCAAAACCGCTGCATGCACCGGAAAAGAGCCAATTAAATGAATTACATAGGTATTAAATTTTCGTATTTTTTTATTCCTTTTAAAATTTTTTAATTTGATTTTTTATTCAATTTTTCCTTTTTTCATTTTTATTATTCATTTTTATGTTATTATTTATTTTTATTTGTTTTTGATTTATTTTTTCGTTATTATTCAATTTTATTTATGTTTTTTATTCAGTTTACGTTATTATTATTTTTATTTATTTTTTTATTCAGTTTTATTCATTTTTATGTTTTATATTAAATTTTATTTACTAACGTCTATTTTTATTTACTATCATCAGGTTTTTAATTGCAACAACAAAAATAATAATATTGAAAAATGTTTGTTTTATATTTATTTTTATTTACTGCTTTATTTTTATTTACTATCATAAGGTTTTTAATTGCAACAACAAAAATAATAATAATAATAATAATATTTGAAAATAATAAAAAAAATGCCAAAGGTGACCTAATTTTTAAAAATTTCATTTCTTTTAATTTAAAAAATTTTTATTTATTTTTTAAAAATTCTTTTTACTTAATTTTTTTCTTGTTATTTTGGTTTAAACTTAATTTTACATATAGTGGTAAGGGTAGTTAAATTTTTTTATTTTTTTAAATTTGAAAATATTTTTTTTAAGAAGGGGGGGGGGGTTTAAGACCTTTAAAGAATTTACATTCGCTTTCTATAATTTCTTAGTGAATCTCTGAGATCAATGGGATGGACGGATCACGAGTATCCTGTTCCTGATCCAAAAGTAATTTTCCCATCGAAAGCAGAAGAAAATTGGCCAAAACCTAGTGAGGAAAATTCGCGAAAAATGTGGTCATGGGATAACAACGTATTTGGTGAGAAAATTAATTAAAAAGAAAGAAAGAAAGAAAAATAATTAAAAAAGAGCAAACACAAAAAAGCATAATTAAAAATTAGAAATAGAAATAGAAAAAAATTTAAAGTATAGAAAAATAAGAAAATAAATAAAAAATTTTAATTTGTGACGAACAAATTTCACTTGTTTCGACAAGTAGAATTCTTCTTTACCAGCTGTCGATAAAGTTGATAACTAATTTACCGACGGATGATAAAAGCACCACCTTCTTTATCCACTGTTGATAAAGTTGATATCTACTTTATCGACAATTCGTTGATTTTAATCTTTTTTGTTTCGACAAGTAAAATTTGTTTGTCTAGTTTCGGCGAAAATTTCTTTTTATGGTTTAAATTCTAAATATAATTGCCATTTTCATTTGATTCTCAATTTTTTCTAATTGTGAGAGAAAAAAAACTTTTCTTTTGAAAGAAAAAAATTTTTCCTATAATTTTTAAGTGATAAAAAAAGTCCCCTTGAAAAGAAAGGATATAAAAGGAGAATTTTCTTTTTTTTGCATGTTTCTTCTTTCTTTCCTTATTTTAGAAACGAAACCTGTATTACCAGTGGAACATCAACCAGTTTTGGTTCAAGTTCCTATTCATCAACAAATCGTCTTTCAACAACCACCAATTAAAGAGGAGAAAAAGCTGACATTTCTCGCTGCTCTTTTTCAGAAATTGCGTCGAATTACAAAAGCACTCTTTCACGTTGAAAAGCCACATGACGATTGCGACGATAGAAAAGACGTTGATGATAATGATCATAGTAGTAGTAGTGCGATAACCAATAAACTCAATAGTGGTTACGTGGTTTATTTAAATTCAAAGGCAAATCAAAGAGTTTAAAAGTTTTAAGGAAGTGAAAAAAATGCAAAAAATAAGAAAAAAATTCACCTATAATAATGAATAGAAAAAGAAAAATATATTTTTATGCGAATATCATCTGTGATAGCAGTCGAGAATTAAAAAGAAAACATTTTTTTAGTCAGACAAGTAGATTTTTTTACTGTATTATTTTTTCTTTTTCTTTAATTTTTTAGTTATCAAAATCTTCTTTATCGACAGATGGTAAACATATCATCTTCTTTACCCACTGTCGATAAAATTGATATCTAATTCACCGACGGATGGTAAAAGTACTCCCTCTCTTACTTACTATCGGTAAAGTTGATATCTACTTTATCGACAATCTGTCGATTTTTACACAATTTCCCATTATCGATTAAAAAACCTGTTTTCTTATTTTCTTTCCACTCGATAAAGTAGGTACTTCTTTTATCAACTGTTGGTAATTACTTTCATTTATTTGAATCATTTATTTTCCATTCGATTTGATAATCAACATGTCTATAATAACAAATTTTTAAATTATTGCGACCGAGAAATGATAAATTAATGTTAAACTATTATTTATTTTAATATTAAAAATTACTAGGGACAAAAAGAAGGGGTTAAATCTAGTTTAGTTTTAATTTGTAATCTAGAAATTATTTACTCAAGACTGAGCATTTGGCATTAGTGTTTAGGAAAAAAGTTGTAAATAGCAGTTGAAGTATTCTTTTTTTTAAATTAAAAAATTAAATATATTGTCGTTGTTATAATTATAAAAAAATTAATTATTAATAAAAATTTTAATTCCCTTTTTTATTAATTTCCTTATCCCCCCCCCTTTTTTGATAGAAAATTTACCATTTTAATAACTAGTGAAACAAGATGTACATTTTTTATTTAAACAAGAATTTTTTTTATTCAAATAAAAATATTTTTTTTACTTAAATAAAATTATTTTTTACATAAATAAAATTATTTTTCAAAATGTTTTTATTAAATATATAGTAATGCTGGGTTTTTTTTTACATATGACCTCTTGTGAAATCTCACTATACGTAGAATGTCACTCAAAAGTCGTTTGACAATCTCACGCGTCAATAATTAATATACTTTCACTTTGAGAACGTTATGAAAATACATGTATTTACTCTCGTTTATAATTTTTATCGTTTATAAACGTAAATTGTAAATTAAAAAATTTCTTCTCTCTTTTTTGTAGTTTTTTTTTAAATAATAACTTTCCGCAGACAAGTTCTTTTTCCGCTTCCGACAGAATCTTTATCGGACTAAATCTATTTTATTAAATTTTTTTTATTTATTTAACATATTTAATAATTAACAATCTTAGACATAATTAATATTATTACTATTATTTTACTATTAACATTATTTTTATTATTATTATTTAATACTAATATTGTTACTTTTCGTATTATTACTATAATTCGACCTAAAATATTACCACTTGCGAGAAAGACAGTGGCGCCCTCTGACCATCAATTATAACGCGGGTTTTTTTCAAATTTTTAAATTTATTTTATCATTTTTAACCATTTAATTTTATTTAGTTAATTATTGTTATTATTTTTATTATTATTGTTATTGTTGTCTTTGTTATTATAATTTATATTATTATTATTATTATTAGTTCTATTATTCTTTTAATTTTATTATTATTATTTTATAAATAAATGAAAAAAATAACATGATATTAAGTTGATTTGCTAAATTTTTTAAATAATAAATTTCGACGATATATTAGAGGAATGCGTTGTGTATATTGTATTGTCGAGTCTCGTTTCTCAATGGACTTCCCAGTTCATGACAAAAGGTGAACTGGTAAGCAAGTAAGCTTTATTGTTGGGAACCCACGTCCCAAAAGTAATATTGTCTAATGTGCCTTCTCTTAAATAACTATGGTCTAAATGAAAAAAAACCATCCAGTCATTATTCGCTGCGTGTAAAAGCCAACTACCCCGGGGATTTGTTCTCTTAGACATCTCTTTGCCATCTATTCTCAACACGTAAATACTATGTCATCAAGATTCACTTTTTAAATTTCAAATATTACGAAAAAATATTTTCTTTCTGCACTGTGTAATACATGTAATTAATAAGTAACGTTGTTTTTTCATTTAATTTCATTTTTTAATTCAAATAATAATAATAATAATAATTAAAAAAATCAAAATAATATTAATAACAATAGTAAATAATAATATAAATTATAATAATTTGCAATTATATAATTACAATAAATAATTAGCAGTATAGAGATACTTTTTTCTAAAAGTAATTTTGTTTCCTAAATGTCAATATACGGTGATTTTATATCGATTTTTAATAAAGTAGTTTTCCCTTTTACCGACTGTAGATAAAGTCAAAGGTACTTTCACCAACCACTGGTAACCGATGAAGTAGTTTTCCTTTTTACCGATTGTAGAGAAGTCAATGGCACTTTTACCAACTGATGGTAACGGATTGTTAATAAGGTAATTTCCCTTTTTACCGACTGTAGATAAAGTCAACAGCACTTTTATCAACCAATGATAACGCTATTTAATAATTCTGATTTTCACTGAATATCATCTTGAAATACAGTTTTCTTTATTGACAGTTACTTAAAATATTATCATTTAGAAAATATGTCAGTTTAAAAAAAATAATAATTAGAATTTAATTGTAATTTTTTTAACCTTCCATCCGTCGCACTTTTTTTGTAACGCGATCCGTCGCAGGTGAGGGAAATTCTCACCCTCATAAATTAGTCCAAACTTGTTCTAAAATGCCAAATTTTTTTTTGAATGTTCATTAGAATTTCTAAACAACCTATTGGCAGTAAAATTAAGTTTTATTTCCTGTTAATTATTTAAATAAAAAATTAATGACAAATGAAATTGAGTATACGCGGTCAGTCGCATGGTGAGAAGTTCCCTCACTTCGCATCAAATATCCCCGACATTTGCTGCTTTCAAATTCAATAACAAAGAAATTAAAATATAAAAAAACACCAAAATTGTTTTAATGTAAAGAAGAAGAGTGCCGTAAAAGGTACTGAGAATATAAAATTATAATTTTTTGTATTTTAAAAGTTATAAATAAAAAAAGAAACTGGGTGAGGGAAATTCTCATAATGCGACGGATGGAGGGTTAAAATCCACTCTTGGAAACTGTAATTTTAAAATTTGTTTTGAAATTTTTTCAATGAAGACGATAAGAAAAAAGGGCGAATGGGGGTAGTTCTCGATGTGAAAATACGAGTCACAAGTGCACATGAGTGTTGAATTATAATACTCAGATGCATACCATTTTTCTAACCCTTAAGCTAGACGTCATATTTCTCTTCCCGTTTTTCTTTCTCTTTTTTTATTTTTTTTTTTGAGAAAAATTGTCACAGAATTTTTCTTATATCGACCACCCTGCCGGAAACAAATCACTTGTATTTTTCTCTCAAGTATTTTTATCATACGTGTCGTGAATTCTTTTTTTTGTCCAATTTCTATTTCCTTTAATAATAATTGTATACCGCATTTGAGAATAAAATGTACATTAACGCACTCTTATATTTTATAAAAATAGCAAATAATAATAATAAAAATGATAATGATAATAACATTAATAATATAATTAAAGACTCGAGAGTCTGTTAAAAACTATATTTTCTAATTCTGTTAGATAAAATTATCGGAAAATGTATTTAATTATTGTAAATTTTAATAATATATTAAGTACATGTGCCACATGAAGAGAATCTCAAAAGAAATGAAGAATTGTATAAGGGGAGGGGAATTCCAATTCACCACTAGCTTGGTAATCCACTTACAGTGAGTCGATACGACTGGCACAGAACTCTCCAAACAGAGATATAGCTATATTGTATTAAACCACTACAGCAAATTGTCCCGACGTCCTGTGCTATCACCGCTACCTCGCGCTTTGATTAACATATTGCTTTTCACGTTTAAAGGATCATGATACTAAAAAAGAAAATATTTCACAAAAAAATACTCTTCTTTTTTTTAGCTTCTTAAAATTATTTTTGTTCACTTAAAAATGCATTTTTTTCTTGTTTTAATTTTGTCTTTCCTTTTCAAATAATTTCCCGTCCTTTTTCTTTCATTGCTCCGCCTACTTTTATCAACTTCTTTTATGCCCCGCCTTTTTCCCTTCAAATTTCCACCTACTATTTTCTTCTTAATTTTTTCCCCGCCCTTTTGTAATTGCTTCTCTTATTTTCTTCGACTTTCCTTTGCCCGCTTTTTTCCCTTTATTACTCCACCTACTATCTTTTTTTATTTATACCCCGCCTTTTTTTATTGCTCCGCCTACTTTCAACATTTCCCCCACCTTTTTTCCTTCACTGCTCCGCCTACTTTTCTTGAGCCCCGCCTAATTTCCTCAGTTTTTTATTTCCAGCTTTTTCTTCCCTGCTCCACCTACTTTTTTATGTATGCCCCGCCTTCTATCCTATTCTACTACTTCTACTTAATTACTTATAATTTATGCCCCGCCCTTTTTAATTGCTCCACCCACTTTTAAAATTTCTTATCCCGCCTTTTTTCTTTCTTTACTCCGCCTACTTTTATAACACGCCTTTTTGCATAGCTCCGCCTATTTTCCTCGACTTTTTTTCCCCTTCATTACTCCGCTCGTTCTCTTCTTCTTTATTTATGACCCGTCCTTTTTATTTCATGGCTCCGCCTATTTTCCTCGACTTTTTCATGTCCGCCTTTTTTTATTGCTCCGCCTACTCTCAAAATTTTTTGCCCCGCCTTTTTCCCTTCACTGCTCCGCCTACTTTTCTCAGCTACTTTTATGACACACCTTTTTAATAGCTCCGCCTACTTTAATATTGTTCATTTATGCCCCGCCCCTTTTCTCTCATGGCTTCTCCTACTTTTCTCGACTTTTTTATGCCCCGCCTACTTTTCAAAAAATTTTGTCCCGCCTTTTTTCATTTATTGCTCCGCCTACTTTCCTCCATAAAAATTCTTTTGTTGGCTACATATCTTTCAAAAATAAATAAAATTAGAATGTCTTTCTTTATTTGATTTACATATCTACTTGTTTTTTTAATAAGAATTAGATATTTTTAAAAACAGAATTAAAAGAATATTTTTTAAAAATAAAAATTACATATTTTTGGTAAAATAAAATATTTCTCTAGACATAAATTTCTTTCGCTATTACAATATTTGTTTCAGTTTATTAATGATTTTTATGGGAGTAGAAAAAAAAGGAGAATTTAATTTAAAACAAAAAAAAATCGAAATAAATTTAGTGCTTCGTTATATGCGCGATAGCATCCCTCGAAAATTTAGCGAGCTGAAGAGGCAGTTCAGGCAATTATAGTTTGGAAAATTTTCCATATGCAAACAAAGGAATTAATTTTATTTCTGTAGTAGTATATTTGCCATGAAATTTTTCGACCAACTACTGGTGAAAAAAAATTGTGTTTGACCTGTACATATACGTCTACATATATATATAAAACCAAGGAATGAAATTGCATTTGCAATTCATGGATATAATATACATATATATATATTAAATTCAAATTAATTTTCACCATTTTTCCAATGACTGAAACCGAAAGATTTATACAGGTCAACTTTTATCAAAAAATTAATTTGCATTTATT